AGTCGGACCTGACTCAGCAACCCCATCCGTAGGTTTCTGAGGCAGTATCACTGCGGAAGTAGATTGCCCCATCTTTCTTCTGAGGAGTGGCTGGTGGCTTTGAACCCACCAGCCTTCTGGTTAACAGTCAGGTGCCTTGGGCACTATGCCACAAGAGCTCTACTGTTCAGTGTACAGCCAAGAAAACCCCAGGGCACAGTTCTGCTCGATCGCATGGGGTCATCAAGTTGGAATCAGTAGCAACAGTTTGGGGATGGGGGGGGTTATAATGTAAAAACTGTCTCCATTGTCCTGGTGCGGCACTCAGCCCAGCCAGCTGACAGAGAAGAATGCAGAAATTTACCACTAGCAAGCAAAGGCCATCCCATTGTGGGTCCCTGCCTTCCCATGCCAGTACCCCTCTGCTCTAGACGTAGCCCTGGAAGCCCCGGGGGAATCTCCCAGCAGCACTGTCGGGGTCAGCCCTCCAGCAGGCAGCAGTCCACCCAGGGCCCACCGAGGGCACGCGTCCAGCAGAGCCCTGTGCTGCCTGTTCATTGCTGTCACTCATCCTGCTTTTCCTTCGTGTGACCAAAGGGTACGTGACATCCATCATGGGCAGAAGGAGGCCCCTGCCAAGTATCCGTGCACAGGACCAGCAGCTGCGGGCGCAGGCAGAGCGGCAGGCAGTGAACTTCGTGGTTCAAGGTACTGTGAGCCCCTCACAGGCAGCTGGCCTGCTACCCACCTGCTCTCATCCCCACAGTCCTGCATCGGCTTTCTTACCCACCTTTCAGCAGCTTCAGGGCTGGACCTAATCTGCGAGGTCATTGTGATGAGAGGAGTCCCTGGGGGTGAAAACGGTCAAGGACTGGGCTACTAACCTGGGGGCTCTGGTGGTGCAGTGCCCAAGGCATCTGACTGCTAACCAGAAGGCTGGCGGTTCAAACCCACCAGCCACCCCTCAGAAGGAAGATGGAGCAATCTACTTCTGTAGAAATACCACCTTGAAACCCCAAGGAGGGGTCACTATGAGTCGCTCCAACTCCATGGCAGTGGGCTTGGTTTGGGTTTGGGCTATTAACAGAGATGTTGGCAGTTCACACCTACCCAGAGTGCCTCGCAAAAGGGGCCTGGCGCTCTGCCTCGAAAGGTTGCAGCTGTCACGAACCCTGTGGAGGGCACCTCTAGTCTGAAACACCAGGGGTCGCCATGAGTCAGAGTCAGCTCAGTGGCCACTGTCTTTGTTTCATTTGACTGTCATGGTGGTTCTTGCTCATCATGGACCTGCCTCCAGAGAGCTGGCCAGACCCTGGCTGGTCCTCCATGGCAGTTAGGAGGCGTTAATGAGATGATGCCTCACCTGTGGTAAGGGCTCAGTGCCTGGTCATCTTTATGGTCAGGATATCGACCCTAAGAGGCTAGGCTGGATCAAGCCATTCCCATATCTATCCATGGGAAACAGGCTTCCAGAGAGTATCTAGGAGCCTGGAATCGGGACTGGAAACTCAGTTCTCAACACTTGTCCTGGAGACCCTCCCTCACTCCCTGTGTGCCAAACAGGTGCTAGACCTCCAGGGTAAGGGCACCCACCAGCGCTCCAGTGCCCACCCCCCACCAAAGGAAAGAGGCAGCTGGAGAAATGGACAGGTGTTGCTGGTCTAGTTACGAAAAGCCCATGGTCACCTTCAATAGAGCACACGGACGGTTCATGCAGTGTCTGCATGAAGGCAACACGAGAGAGGCTGGTACTGAGTGCATGCACATGGCTCACGCATTCTCTGGCCTTGCCAAGCATTGCCTCACCAAGGCCTCTATGGAGCCCTGGGCACCAGGTCCTTGTCTCCATAAGTCACAGATGGAGAACTCAGGCACCCAGGGCCCTGAAAGGAAGTCCCCCAGCCAAGACACTACACCCAGAGTGCCACCTGCCCCCCAGAGGGGTGTCCTGTGGACATCACCGGCAGTGGGAGTAGGGGTGTGCCCACCAAGGCCAGAGACTCTGCAGACATGACCACAGAGGGCAGAACTCAGGAGGAGGATGGAGTGTGGGCCACAGCAGCTCTGCAGAGAAACGGCCGGCCCCAGGATACCACTCAGGGAACGGGATGGATGACAGGGGCGGCCGGCCCCAGGATAGCATTCGGGGAATGGGACGAATGACAGGGAAGGAAGTTACTCTCCTCAAGGGATCAGCGAGGATCTGGTCAGGGGTCAGTAGGGAGCCTTCCCCAAGTCCAGCTTCTCGGGTGGCGACCCAGAGCATGCATGAAGGACACGCCCAGCGCTGCCAGTCCTTCAACCTCTGATCTCAGTGAGGCTCTCGCCTGGGAAGCCGTGGCCGAGTCCTGGTCCCACAGGGAGACATGGTGCCCAAGCTGTTGCAGGGAGTGTCCTCTCAAAAGAACTCAACAGAAGTACCTCCACCTGAAGGGAGTTGTGGCCACAGAACTCTAGCCTCAAAGGTCCCTCACTGCCAGCTGGACGGTGTCACTCAGGGACTGTCCTCCGAACGAGGGAACCATCACCTTCTGTCTCACAAATGTCTGTCAGGCACCTACCCAGGTGGCCCTGAACATGGTGAGTGCCCACCCCAAAACCACTACATGGAGGGGTGCCACGTCTCTGGTGCCCCATGCTCGCTTCTCCACCCTGGCACCTCCTCCTTGTCTCCCCGCCACTCGTGTTGCCTGAAGCTTCAGCATTCCCCACCCTTGTCACCTGGGCAGACCCCACCAACCCCACGTGGTTAGGCTGGAGTTGCCCAACACCCTTCTCTGGGCCCAGAAGGCTCTCCCTGTCCCTAGCAGGCGGTTGTGGTGTCTGTGAGAACTCCTGAACCCGTGTGTGGCCCAGACGCACCCGTGAGTCCAGCACCCCAGGGGCCCAGGCCCAGGCCACACTCACTCGATTCACCACCTTGGAAACACCTGCAGCTCCTCCTCTGGAAACGCCAGCTTCCCCTTTAGGCAGCCTTTACAGAGAGAAGAGGAGAGAGACTCCCGGAGCCACGGCCTGGCAGGCTCAGCGGTGAAGCCAGCACGGCCCGAGGGCCGTGAGCAGAGCTGAAGGTTCCTGGGCAAGCAGCAGGTCTGCCGGCCGCCAAGGACAGTCCCGGGCCCGCAGGCAAGCCAGCTTGGCGGCCAGGTCCTTCTGCCGCCAGCCCTCTGGGCCTCTGGGCAGCTGTAGAGGCCGGGTCCTTCTGCCGCGGGCTGGCCAGGCGCCATGAGCAGCCGAGGAAGATGCTTCTCCGCTCTCCAGGCTCGTGCCTCGCCTTTTACCGAAAGGAGCACCTGCTTGTTCACAGGTTCACCTGGTCACAGAAGCTGGTGCTGTTGGGTTTTCGGCTGTTTCCAAATGCAAAAGGTTATGCCTTCAGTACCAGAGACATCTCCAGGAAGGCAGGGGCAGGCGCACCTGGACAGGTGCAGACTTCTCCGCAGTGTTCAACCACAGAACCACGGGCTCCGCCACCAGGCTTCTGCCCCCTGAGCCACGCTTCTGCCACAGGCCCCAAGCGTCTGCCCCCACCCCCAGTTTCCGCCACAGGCACCAACCTTCTGACGCCTGCCCCAATGTCTGCTGTGGGCACTGAGCTGTTGCCACCTGCCTGGCTTCTGCTGCCAACACCATGTCCCCTGCCGTGGGCTCAGGCCTGCCGGGATGCTCGCATGAGTGCAGGCTGTGGAAGTGGGTATTTTGAAGATGTTTTGTCTAAAATCAGACCCATAACTTTTAGTCACAACAAAAGTCACTGATGCAGCACAAATCCTCTTCTCTGCTCCTGGTGGGAGAGGACTCAAACTGGTAGCAGCCCCTGGGGTCCCCCAGGGGGCTCACAGAGCCTAAGACCCATCATGGCCCCAAGACGGTCCCGGTGAGCGTTGTCCCTTCTGGTCCAGCCTTCCTGCTGTGCCATGGCCTCCCAGAGTGTGGGACACAGAACGTCAGGTGTCTGGGGAAGGTGGCCTCAGGACGGAAAGGAGTGGTCCACAGAGCAGGTAGAACTTTGACCATCAAGTCTGCTCTCCCATGATCAGAGCCAGTTACTGAGATGGACTGTGTGCCTGGCGCTGGCACAGCCATGCTAGCAGAGGGCACGGCAGTGCCAGGGAACAGATGCATGGGGGCAACGTGACTTAATCCCTCTGCGGTCCTGAGAGGGCGCTCTCGAGCCCCCTTGTTGTAGGTGCAAAACCTGGGGCCCAGAGAGACAAAAAGGCCATGCAGCTGGCAGGTCGGGGAACTGGCTGGAGCCCGAGTCTACTGAACCCAGAGAGCTGTCCATCGTTCCATTAGCCAGTGTGGCAGGCAGAATTCATCATGGCTCCTGAGGTTCCGCCCCTGGGGTGCACCCCCCAAATGGTCGTCTCCCCTTGAATGTGGGCAGAGCCTGTGAATCTGAGAGATCTCACCCCTGTGATTTAGCTACATCATATGACAAAAGAGGTCTGTAGTAAGGTCCCTAAGCAGCTGACTTTGAGTTAATCCTGGGAGAGGTCATCCTGGGTGGGCCTGACCTAATCAGATAAGCCCTTCCAAAGAAGGTTGTGAGATCAGTCAGAAAGACACAAAGCAGCAGCAGAGAGCCTCCTGATAACAGGGGAGCTCTGGTGGTGCAGCACTTAAGGCATCTGACTGCTAACCAGAAGGTTGGCGGTTCAAACCCACCAGCCGTTGCCCAGAAGGAAAGTGGGCAATCTACTGCCACAAAGATTTACCACCTTGGAAACCCAGTGGACTCTCTGTGAGTCAGAGTTGAGTCAGAGTTGACTCGATGGCAGTGGGTAACAGGAACAAAAGGCTGGGAGAGGCCTTGTGGCAAGGCCCTGCAGCAGCTTCTGGGACCTGAGAGGCCCCCAGCCAGGAGCAATAGGTAAACAGGGACCCCAGTCACTCAGCCACCAGGGAATGGATTCTGAGGACACCTGGAGTGTGTCTTCCCTCGTCACGTTTCCAAACGAGGATACAGCCAGCCAACACACCCTGAGTTCAGCAAGGACCCAGCTAAACGGGTCTGACTCCTGCCCCCCGGAAACTGTGAGATGATGTGTGTGGGTCGTCCCAGCTCACCGAGAGTGTGGCCCCCCAGCCAGGCTGCGGAAGCCATGCTCAGCTGTGCTCTGGCTGCAGTGCCCTGGGCCCAGCACTGTCCCTGAGCAGAGCCCCCTGTGTCCCACAGGCTCGGCCGCCGACCTCTGCAAGCTGGCCATGGTCCGCATCTTTGCCGCGGTGGCCTCGTCTCCCACTCTTACAGCAAGGTGAGTCCATCTGACCTGTCCAGGGGCCGGGGGCCCATCATGTTCTGGGAGGGGATTCTCCGTGCCCCGTGTGCAATGCTGGCCACTTCCCACCTGCAGAGTCTCCACTCCAAATACCCAGCAAAGTGTCCTCTTGAGCCCGACCTCCTACCCACGAGTCTTGGGAGGCCCCTTTCCTTCCAAGGCTCTCAGGCTGGACAAGGGGCCCAAAGGGGCATGAGTGCTGTGGCCAGCAGGCCATTTCACCAGCTTGGGACAATCTGTCTTAAGACGTCACGGGGCCCTTCATCTGTGCAGAAATGCCCTACCTCCATGGTGTGCCTGGGGCAGTGAGGAGGTGACTCCCCTGCCCCCTTGCTCCTCCCCACTGCTCCCCCCACCAAAGCCACACCTGGTTCCTGCTGCTCCCAGAGTGGGCACTCTGGCGCACCCCAATCGAGGGAGGGCCCCACCATGGGTGCTGGGGCTGCAGCACCTCATGGGTGCCTGGAAAAGCGTTCTCAGCTCACCCTCTGCCTCACGCTCCGTCACGGCCCCCAGAGCACCCCCCAGTGCTGGCGTGGGTTGGGGGCAACTGAAGTCCTAGTCGACCCTCGGGGCGGGCAGGGGCTCTCCTCATGAATCCCCAGGACCTTGCTAAACCCCCCAAGAGAGGCTCTTTGATCCCCACCCCAGCTCTCCATTCAGTTGGGTGGAAGGGGCCTGTCCCCCCCATGAGCACTGGCCAGGTGGTACAGTGTTCCCGGGGTGGGTGTGGGGCAGCTCTGACTATGAGAGGGGAAACCCACCCCTGCGCCCCACCCCCCAATGGGCATGTCCCTGCTCACTCCCTTCAATCCTTACGGGGCGCGGGGCAGCCTCGGAATGTCACCAGCATAGAGGCACGCTGGGTCTGGTCACCTGCTCCCTGGGGCCACCTTCTCCACGGACACCTGCCCTGAAGAGAGAAGGCTCTAAGTGCTGGGCGCACACACCAGCCTAGCTGGGCACATGGCGCTTCACCTGTGGTCACAGGTTGCCCCTGTCAGAGCCAATGGGCAAAGTGTGGAACGCTGAAGGCTGGCCCCAGGTTCCCTTCTCTCCCCTGGCAGGAGGCCCCCCAGCTCCTGTCATGCGCAGGATGAAGTCTTGCCCCTGCTCCCCTGGTGGGGGACTCTGGGTAGGAGGCACATTTGGTCCAGGGGCTCAGTGTGCATGCTAACCCTTGAACAGAACTTAAAATAGTGAAAGGCTGGTGGGGTGAGGGGCTCCCCCTTTAACAGCCAGCCTTCCCCGGGGCCTTGGAGTGGCCCTGTCTGAGACAGCTGGCCTTTGGGGAGGGGCGAGGCCTGGGCTCTGGCCAGGAGGCTGGTCAACAACCAGAGGTTTGCTAGCGGTCAGAGGAGGCTGTGAAGAGGTAGCCCTGGCCCCTCCCAATCTTCTATTAGTGTTTTTGTTGTTGGGAGGTGGGCAGGAGGGAGGAATGGTATATGGGACTTTGCAGGAAGCACCACTTGCCCGATGCGGGGGCTAGGAGGCTGCGCCCCACCTCTGCCTCCTGCCGTGCTATGCGGGGTCCCAGAAGCCAGGCAGGCCAGGGTCTGGTGGGTGCTTGGCCAGGACACAGGAGAGCCTCACCACAGGACACAGTGACACTCTTCGGGGACCAGGACAGGGTCCTTCTGAAGCTTCCACTGGATGCTGGACCTGCAGCCCCTCGCCCTCCTGGACGTCGCGGCTGGTGCTCTCAAAGCCGGGCCACAGCGGTTGCGTTCACTCAGGACCTGATGACCCAGCTCGTCATTGGCTCTTTACTGCCTCCAGAAACCAGTTTTCATAACAAAACCATCGTGCTGTCTTGGAGGACAAAGCAGATCCGTGGGGAGCACTGGGCACTGCGGGCTGTTCTTCCAGGAGGGACTCCGAGGCCGCAGGGCAGGGCCGGGAGGACAGAAGCCAGCTGCCGGCGGGTTTGCCTCTCTGCCTGAAGAGAGCGAGACGCAGCACCAGAAGACACGTGGCCAGTCATCTGAGGGTCGAGGACCCCTCGGGCATCCGTCGGCTGCCCACCCAGTGCCTGTGAAGGCTGGGAGCACACAAAGCCTTCACTCATCGCCCACAGTCCCCGGATGGACAGTGCCACTCACTGACCCTCAGGCCCAGAGCAGGAGGACAGGGAAGCCCCATGGGGCCCCTGACTGGAGGCGATGGTGGCCGGGGCCCTGATCCACGCTGTGCTGTCGCCCAGGGAATGTAATGTGGTCAGTCACTCAGTCATCATCATGAGCTGTCTGCCTGCCCAGGGGAAGGAAATGTCAAGAAACAATGAGAAGCCCTCTCCAGCTTCCAGAAAACATCAGAACTGCAGGGAAGCTGCCGAGACCACTGGTTCCAACACCTGATGGATGGAAGGAAGACTGGCTCAGAGCACCACACAGCTCGCCCAAGTTCACACAGAGCTGGCGCCACGGTGCCCCCTCAAGCTGTGCTGCTGACCCTCCCTGCGCCCCCACGGAGCCAACGGGCTCATGGCTGCAGGAGCCTGACCTCGTTCCCTGCTGGTTGGCTGGCACCATCACCTTCCTGGGGAGACACTACCCCTTCACCATGGGCAACAGAACACAGCAGTGGGGGGGGGGGTCAGCAGCTTCCCTGCCATGCAGTGTCTACCAGAGGGTACCCAGTGTGCCAGGCCCAGACCAGGCACCGTGAGGACCTTCTTGCTGCCTTGGTGGCCTTTGAGACAGGCAGGGCTTGGACCTTACACACTGCTCCTAAAGGGAGGAGAGGCCAGCAGCGCCCATGCAGAGGGCCGTCCACAGATGCTGCAGGGGGTCCACCGGGGACTGAACCAGGGCCTTCTGGGGAGGGGCACACTGCCGTGCTAGACCAGGCAGCAGGGCACGGGGCCCGGCCTGGGGCGGAGCGAGGGCCAGGTGAGACAGCCTGACGGGGCGAGCACGGGGGTGCAGGGCCGACGGGCCAGGCAGGGGACAACAGTGGGGTGAGGAGGGGCCCCTCAGGACAGCAGGCACTGGTGAGATCCCCCAGGGGGCAGGGCTGGCGCCACACTCGTCTTTGGTGCCTGGCCACGCGCTGGTGCTCAGCACACTTTGTGGCCAGGATGAGTGTGTGGACAGAGCGCAGACAGGGAGCTAAATGCTAACAGGTGTGCCCTGCGGGGAGGACAGCTGAGGTAGCCACTCTGGAGACAGCAGGTTCAGGTGGAGACTTACTGGCTCAGGGCCAGCGGAATGGTTTTGGGGGCTGCTGTGCTGGCCAGCTCAGCATGTGGGCTCAGCGCCACTGAGGTGGGACAGAGCAGTGTCCTGATGCTGGTGTCCAGGCCCTTTGTGCCTCTGCATCAAAGTCTGTACACGCTGCAAGTACGCGGCCGGGCCGGCTGGACGCCCACACCGTCCAGGGAGACACCAGGCAGGCGTGAAGTGTCAGCACGACCAGCAGGGACAAGGGACATCGACTGGTCTCTAGAGGACCTGGCCAGGCTGCAGGAGGGGCTGTGGGCAGAGTGTGCAGGTGAGGCGGTTGGCAGCCCACGGCCACGGCTCCCCTGAGCTGAGCCAAGAGTGGGGTGCGAGCCAAGCAGGTCGTGTCACATCTACCTTCAGCACTGGATGCACTTCCCTCCTGGGGAGCAGCTGGGCTTGGGCCGTGGGTGCCAGGCAGGTCACGGACAGGAGGAAGCGAGGTGCTTCCAGAACGTTCCCCCACGAGAGCAAGGACCTGTGCCACATCAGCCAGGCTGTCCTGAGAACACAGAGGCCTCATCCACAGGACCGGGGCAGGGAGTGACCTCGCCATCAGGAAGAAGAAGGGTTGTAAGACCCCTGCACTCACGGGCTCTGAACAGGGACATCTTCCGCTGCTCTTTCAGTTCCCATGGGCCGCTTTGCAGTGGAGGTGGGGGTTACGTGTCCGCTTTGCAGTGGAGGTGGGGTACGTGTCCCCTGCTGTGAGCGCGACATGCAAGTGACTCACAGCCCTACACTGTTCTTAGACCGCTGCCACCACAGCGGCTCAGAATCTCACAGGGCAATTTCAGAAGTGTCAGGATGGTTTCTTCTAAATCGGGAAGTCACAAGTGCCTATTCTGAGGCTGCCCGTCTGAAAATGCCTCACCTTGGGAGCCAGAAGTTCCACCAGCAGCTGGGAGTTGAAGAGAGTGAAGAGCCTCCGCCACGCTCACCAGGTCAGGTGGGAAGGGCAGAGCCCAGGCCTCAGCCCAGGCTGCAGGTCAAGTGCAGGCGTGGCCCTCGGCTCATGTTTCACTGCCCACTGGAAGTCCAGAGCCAGGCAATCGCTGACTTTGATTCAGAGGTTCAGGGTGACGAGTACCCCCGGCTCCCTGGCCCTTCCCTTCTGTGCGCCCCGAAAGTTGCTCCAGCCATCACAGCGCCTTCCAGGCAAAGGGAGAAAGCAGTGATGACTCCCAGCCCAGTCCCTTCAAAAAGCCTTCCTGGAAGGAGGGCCACCTCACCTGCAAGGAGACCTGGGGAGCCCTGCCCCATGTCCACCCCACGCAACTACAAAAGAGAGAGGAAGGCCAGCTACTGTATGTCTCTGCCACCAAGCCCAGCACATAGATTCTGGATTCAAGCCTTCAGCTGAAAGTACCGGCACAGCCCGTCTCCATGGTGTGGTTTGAAGAGCTGGCCCCCCAGCCAGGCTCGCCACCACAGACCTTTGCCTACCCCCATCCACCCTATCCTAGTGGCCTCTGGGCCACAGCCCACAGTGCAGGGCCAGGAGCCCAGAGCACTGCCCTCTTTCCACATTCCCACCCAGGTCCAGAAGCAAGTGTGACCAGAGGACAGGACATGTCCCTGCCCTCAGCAGCCTCATCCAGGTGACAGATAGGGTCAGCAGTACATACAGGACCCACCTCGGACACCCACCATCCTCCTCACTGGGTCTCAGGCCTTTGTGGCCAAACTGGCGACAGCACCACTGCGTGGACATGGGCTGCAGCATCCGACCTCCTCTCCCTTCACTAGGGGAAGAGGACCAAGAACACCAGCGGCCCAAGGCTGACTCCCGTGGGGCAGAGGTCACACTGATACCACCCTCTGACCCTTCCGCCAACCTGACACCAACCGTCCCTTCCACGGCACTCTCTACTTCTCCACTGGGTTTGGTAATTCTTTGCAATGGCCACACAGAACTCTCAGACAATACAGTTATGGGGTTTATTAGGGAAGTAACAGGTTACAAGTCAGGATCAGAAACGACTCAGGATACTGTCCCTCAATCAGGACAATTTCTTCTCAGCTGCGCCACAGGCAGGCCTCTCTCTGACCTCGGCCTCGGCCTCCGCCAGTGGGTGCCCAGAGAGGCACCTAATTCCTCCAGCAAGGCTCCTGCTTTCCCGCCCGTGACCTGGAACACCCACTGCTCTGTTCTTGTGCCAGGCTCAGTTCTGCTGGTTCTGCTGACACTCTTTGCCATCTCTCTGCTATCTCTGCACAAGGATCTTGGGTCCAAAAGATTGAAATTGTGAAAGATTTCATGTTACTTGCTTCCACAGTCAACACCTATGGCAGCAGCAGTCAAGAGATTAGACATCATATTGCACTAGGAAAATGGGGCAATCTACTTCCGTAGTGGTGTCGCCTCGGAAACCCAAGGAGGGGTCGCTGTGAGTCAGGTCCAACTGGACGGCACATAACAACAACAACATTGCACTAGGAACTCTGGTAGCATAGTGTGTAAGGCACTTCACTG